TCAAATTCTGAATTTAAAGAGAGTATTGAGGGTATTCAGTTTAATTTCAGGGCTTCATCTTAATCTATCCAAGAGTAAATTGTTTGGTGTTAACGTGGCAGAGGACAGATTGAAAGATTTAGCACTGGTAGCAGGTTGTGGGGTGGGATCTTTTCCTATGACTTATCTAGGTCTTCCGATAGGAACAAAGAAAAATTCAGAGTTATTGTGGGAACCAGTTTTACAGAAAGTTTTCATCAGACTAGCAGGTTGGAAAGCTGCTTCTTTATCGTTGGCTGGAAGATTGGTGTTGATAAAATCGGTGTTGTCCTCCTTACCTATTTTTTATCTCTCTATTTTCAAAATTCCGTTTAAGGTTAATCAGAAAATTAACTCAGTATTGGTAAGATTTCTTTGGGGTGAAGAATCTGACAAGAAGAGGGTTCATTGGGTGAATTGGAGTACGGTTTGTCAACCATTGGAAGGAGGCTTAGGAGTATTGGACTTGAGTATGATTAATAGAGTTTTGCTAGGGAAATGGGTTTGGAAGTATGCAAATGACAAAGACTCTCAATGGAAAAAACTGATTTGTTGTATTCATAATGTCAGTATGGAGTCTCTGTCTATAGGCAAGGCTGTTTCTCTTCAAGATTCATGGGTTTGGAGAGGTATTCAGAGTAACTATGAGAAAAAGGACGAGATTGAGGATTGCTTGAGATCCAATTCGAAGATCCAAGTGGGGAATGGTAGGTCAATTGATTTTTAGAATGATATTTGGGTTAATGGATCTACTCTTAAGATTCAATTTCCTAGAATCTTTGCTCTATCGACTAACAAAAGGGGAAAATTGGTTGAATTTGGTGGATTTGTAGCTAATGGTTGGGTTTGGAACATTCAGCTAAGGAGAAATCTTTATGACTGGGAATTGGATCAGTGGCTTTCCTTAATGCTTTTGATTGACAACATAACACCGAATGAATCAGTGGATGATTTTCTGGGGTGGTCAGGGAAGGGGATGGTTTGTTCTCGGTAAAATCTTGTAGAATGACTATCTCAAGCAGAACTGGAGGACATTTTCAATGGAAGAAATAGGTGTGGTCCGGATTAACTCCTCCTCGAGTGGAAACATTTCTATGGCAGTTTACTCATCAGAAAATGGCAGTTTACTCATCAGAAATTGGCAGTTAGAGTGGAATTGAAGAAAAGAGGGGTCAATCTTGAAGATGTTTTGTGCCCTTTTTGCCGCAAATATGAGGAATCAATTCATCATCTGTTTTTTTCATGCTCGGTTGCATATGAGTTGTGGTATAGATTTTTAAGGTTTTGGGATATCTCTTCGGTCATGCCCCAAGATCCTCCTTCCTTTCTTTGCTCTTGGTCTTATCTAAGGGAGTGTTCTAATATTTGGAAGTTCATTCCAGGTGTTGTTCTATGGTCTATTTGGAAAGCTAGGAATGCAGTGGTTTTTGAAAACTGGACATTAGATAATTCATCCCTATTCTTCATTTCCAGGTTTAGGTTGACTAAATGGTTTTTAGCAAAATTTCCTCATGTTAATATTCAGGTTGACCTACTAGTAGGGGATCCATCGCTTGCAGACAATTTGCCTATAAAATCCTACAATAAGAAGAAGGTTCTTAATTGGTCTCTGCCTCCTTCGGATTTCTTTAAATTCAATGTTGATGGAGCGGTAAGTGGTGATGGGCTGTAGGGAGGTATTGGAGGAGTCTTGAAAGATTCGAAATGTTCTACTTTATATACCTTTTCTTTTGCGGTGGGACCTGGTCCTCCTATGTTAGCTGAGCTGAAAGCTATTAAACAAGGGATTGATCTATTCATTTCTTCCGAATGGGCTTTGAAGGGAAGACTAATCCTTGAGACAGATTGTAAAACAGCAGTTGACTGGATTTTGATGCTATTTTCTGCCCCTACTTTTTTCAATACTTTAGTTGGGGAAATTGGGGCCTTAGTTTCTGCTAGGGGTATTATTGTTAGATGGATTCCTAGGACATGCAATTGGGAGGCTGATAAGCTAGCTAAAGAGGGTATTGGTTGATGTTTGAGCTTTATGGTTGTTTTTTTATAGGAATTGTAGGCCTCGTTAAAAACCTCCTTCTTGATTAAAGGAGCTTGTAGAAAAGCTCCTTAATCAGCGGAAGGAGGAAAAGAGTGCCTTAAGATATCATTAACCAAAAGAACCAAAGGATACAACCATAATCACCTCCCTAAACAAAAACAAAAACCCAAAACAGCCGGCATAAACCCTATACAACACCACTAACACAGCGAAATCCATAAGAACAACAGTCACAAAAATGACTGACCAGACTTAACACCTGAACTAATCCCGAAAAACACATAACAAAACAACTAAAGCAGAAGCCGAAAACACAGCAGACACAAACCAGAAAAACCAACATAAAAAACATAAGCCCTGAGCTTCCACACGAAGAGAACAAGAATCTTCAACCGCCATATTGCCTCATCCGCCTTACTGCCTCTTCTAGCTTGACATGTCGACATAGACCAACCGAACCTCCAACTTTAGAGCCTTCAAAATCAGAAAAAACTTTCTCTCGATGCACCTTCCTCGTAGAATTCTCGCTTATGATTTACCGAGACTTCCTTTGGTGGGCCGAGAATTTTTCTTGAAAATTTCGGAGAGAGCTAAATATAGCATTTCTCTCCTCCAAAGCTCTTTGTTTCTGACGCCCATCCACTTTGACTGGATTCGATAGCCCCATCCCCTGACCAGCAAGCACATCCTCGTGTACCACCAAAACCTTAACTCCATCAGATCGCATGTCCGAGGACGGCACAACTGGCAGCAGCACGTTATCTTAAATTAAATCCTTAGACCTAACGTGCGCCCTACTAACACTCTCCAAGGCATGAAAAGTGCCACTAGTTTGACAGGCAAAATCCTGCACAACTGTCCCACTAACCGACCTAACATTCGGGATCTCCAAGAACCTATTACTATTAAATAATACCTTAGTTTGCCGTGAACCAACATTTCTAATTGGAGCCAAACGCTTACCACTAACATCCAAAAACATGTGCTGCACCACTTTCGAATTTGCACTAACAGCTCTAGCCTCACACACCTCCAAACCTGTGCCCATGTGAAAACCACTAGCTTCCTCCAAAATATTCAGATCTGCACTCCTCTGGTCAACTGAATCGAGCGTAGAAGCCCCATTACAAACTGTCTGGTTATCACAAAACGACAGCTTATTTCCATTCACAATATCCTCGAGAGCATCACACAGATCTACCTCAGACCCCACTTGCGCCCCCCTAGCTACCTCCAAAGAATTAAAAGTGCCGCTCATCTGGCAATCAGACCCATGCGTAGTTGTCCAGTTACGGACTGTCGGGGACACAACTTCCACAGCCCTTACCTCTTCGAACCAAGGACCATTTCCTCCTTCCTTGGCACCTGGACCACACTTTCCACCACCAGTAAGCGTGCCTTCAAAATACGTTCCAGCATCAACCACCTGCTCGGAGGCCTTAACTGGCGAGACACCAAAAAGCTCCCCCTTCGTGGGCAACGGGGAGGCAACTGACGTTTCCAACACAGACGAATCAACCCAGACGGAATCTGGGCTAAAGCAAGGTTCAAACTCAGAAACAAAAACTGGAAAAGACTGATCCCCAACTTTCAAGACACAAGATTCTTCCACTCGAACTTTACGGTTCGTAATGATCTGAAAACAGGCCCTATCAAACGAGCCGGGATTAGAGGTTCCTACATCAATGGAGATAAGAGTTCCCCATTTTTCTGCAATGTTTCTAAAAGTTGAATGGCACCACACAAACGGTGGTATCCCTCTACACGATAACCATGCTCGGCGGCTGCTACACTGAAAGTTTTCCGACCACAAATCCACTTTGTCAAAGCATTTATTCAACGCACCACTCTGGTTTTTTAGAGTAAAGTCCCTACTCTCTTCATCTTCAAAAATGATCAAAATAGCTAAACCACTTAACCTCATAATTTTCGGGCCTAATATGCCTTCCTTGTGCATAATAGCAGCTAACTCTTTCATTTTTATAAATTTTCTGCACCAACCAACTAAACTATCTCTAAGAGTAATTAACTTATCCTCGTCAACTACACCAATAATAGGCGCCTCTTTGACAACCACCTCACTACTCTTGACCACAGCTGAAGTTGAACCAGAAAACTTTTTCCTCCAGTAAACATCACGAGGTTGAAATCTCGCCATGAAAACTCTAACCTTTCTCCCTTGAATCCAAGATTTATCGGCACAGATGATAGCCCTCCTCGCGTCCTCCACTCTAGAAAACGGACAAAACCGAACCTGCTACCTCCCTTACTTCTTTTGCTAGGGATGAAGGAATCGACCACCTCGCCATAATTATTGAACAATAACCTAAGATCTTGATAATGAAGACAATCTGGAATATTGAAAATAATAACTGTAACGCAATTCTTCCCACCAGATCTACTCAACTGACTCGCCATCTAAAGGATTCGAAGGAGAAAAAGAAAGAAATTTTTGAAAAACGCCTGAATTTTTAGAGAGAAGGAGGAGCTTCTCTCACTGGAAATTGTCATCTTTATGGTTGTTTTGGTTTGTATTATATTTCGGACAGTTTATTTAGTAAGCTGTAATCTTATGTAATCATGGTTTATTAATATAATGAGGTACTCTTTTCCTCCTTCCGCTAGTTGCCTCTTTCACAAGAGCCAACTATGAGGGAGGTTTTTAATGAGACCTCCTATTCCTATAAAAAAAAACTTTTAGTAAAAGTTTGAGAATTGAATTCTTTAAATTTGGGGTAGAGGGATTAAAACCGTCAAATTGAGCTAGTAAAGGATCAAATTGATGCTTGACCAAAACTATTACATTATGTTGATTTGGGCTGTTTCTAAGATTTTGGATTTCTATATTTAACATGATAATTGATTCTTTTTCCCTCTCTTTTTCTTTCTTGATATGAAATGATAGCTACGCTTTCTGACTCCTTTACGTTGTACCATATTCCAGGTTGATCTTCTTGAGCCAGCATCACATTTCTTAGATGCCGCCCGTGAAAGCTTGTCTCAGGAACATTTTGTTGCCTCTGATATGCACAAGGCTACTAATTTCTACTGCATTCCGCTTCAAGTAATGTATTTCAAGACTTTATTGATACTATAGCTACGTGCTTGTTGATGTGTTGAAGTATTCATAACCATGGTTAAGTCTATTTAAGCTATGCATTTCCAAATTTTCACTTAATCCAAAATTATGGATTTCAGCCGTGTAGTGTACGCCTCAACCAGGAATGCTGCTTGGACACTATGCCAGAAAAATGTATAAAATTCAATATCAACATTTCAAATATGGTCTTCTGTCTGACACCTGAATCTAGGAAGGGCTTCAATCATGTGCTGTAGCACTCAATATGAAACCTAAATGATTAGACTACCTATGGGTTCAAGTAAATTGTGTAACTATACTCTTTTTTTGTGGTGGTGGGGGTTGGGGTTCAGGGTGTAGGGAGGTTAGGTTCTGGGTGGGTTGCAGTGGATTGAGTTGTGAATACCTCAAATATTTACAGTGATAATGTTCATCGTCAATGCAAGTTGATGCTGTGCCTGTCTTATTCTTATGCTTCCAGCTGGTAATTTTTGCATATAAACAAGAAATTTGATACTCAATTCTATTTTATTTGTTTTTTTATTATTATTTTAGGAGTTCACTCCTCATGCTGGAAGGTACAATGTTATTTGGGTCCAGTGGTGCATTGGTCATCTGACAGATGACGACTTTATCTCATTTTTTAAGAGAGCAAAGGTGAATCAATCCTCTTTGATTTTCGAATGAGTAATTGTCAGATTACACCGATGCTTAATTGATACCTTGAATTTTTTTATTACTCTTGTTTTTATTGAAAGATTGGTTTTTATAATTTAATTTAATAAGGTGATTAATTTTGATTCCAGGTAGGCCTTAAACCTGGTGGATTCTTTATCGTGAAAGAGAACATTGAGAGAAATGGTATTGTATCTCTGACCTGTTTTTCCTATTATGCTTAATTGCCCCTCTTTTTCCCTCCTCTTTCTTGAGAAATGGTCTACTATTTGTATCTTTGCATTTCTCGAACTTTCTTATGTTTTGGTAAATTTCATGAGATTGGTTTCTTGGTAACTACTGTTTGATTTTGCATTCATGTGTCTTCCCTTGAATAAAAAATCTTATTGTTTACGAAAACAGGAGAAAAAAAATCTGAAAAGATCCTATTTCCCCCCACTCGTATTTGTGTAACTGAAGCTAACTTTATGGGATCTACAATTTCACTTTGAAATGAGGTTGCAGGTTGAAACCTCTTCACTGGTCTTTGAAGAGTTCTGGAATTCTTCCAGTGGCAAAACGAGTTTCACTGAGCTATTTTTAATCATTTGCAGGATTTGTTTTGGATAAAGAAGACCGAAGCATCACAAGATCTGATTTATACTTCAAGGACCTATTCCGTCAGTGTGGATTGCACCTGTATAAAATGAAGGTTCCTTCTTTTACACATCGTACCCTTAATAACAGTTGATAAATTATAGTGTTCTTTAAACAGAATTATCCATTTCCTATAAAATCAACATTTGTTGCTTTATGAGGCTTAGTAGAGTTAACCAGGATGTAGTTTCAAAAGCCGATCTTTCTAAATCACCTTGAATGCAATTCCTTTCTCGGGTACCATAGTTTATCCTGTTAGTATTTATAATTAGTTTATTATTCTTGAAAACAGGACCAGAAAGGATTGCCTGAAGAATTGTTTGCTGTGAAGATGTATGCTTTAACAACTGAAGCACCAAAGAAAGTTCATAAGACCCGATATAACGTGCAAGCCAACAGACCCACCATCATTAAATGATTTGTTGTTTAGAATTTGCTGTGTTTTTGTAAGTGCTTAGTTTTCGAGTAGCTCATTTTACTGTATCGTCCGATAGAGAGTATTAGTTTGGCTCATATAGTGTTCTCAGGTTGACAAGTTTTACTTATTTGCTTTGAGTGGAGAAACCCTTGACAAGAGAAATGGATGAAAATCATGTTAAATTAAGTGCTAGATACATGAACAAGTAGGAGAGTTTTCTTTTGTTGTGGACCTTGCCAATATATTAGAGTAGGCGCTTACCATTTTCATGGAGGAAAGCGCTGCTTGTTTCCACATCACAACCAATCTCAGGCCATTGGTCTTGAAGATAAAACTTTGAATCTATGTTTTGAAGATGGACCTGTTTCTGACGGCCACAAGTCGACGTTCACATGTTGGCTAATCCGTTCACATATTTCGGTTGCAATATGTCAACACCAACCATTGACCAGCACCAAATTATGTTGGCACAACTGAACCAATACTTTACATTCCTCCAACATACTTTCTATGACACTTTTCCCTTGAATTGTAGCAATCCGAGTAGATTTCAACTCTCACTTGAGTGTCATCCGTTAAGATCCCTCTATACACAACAAAACCGTCACTTTCCCTCCCCCTACGAAAACACAGCCACCATGAAAATGACAACAAATGGAAACCCGAGCAGTGACATCACAGCCTTATCTTATACCTACGGTGACTCGGGATGATCCCGGACTCAAAAAACACAAAGAACCGAACTGTTTCAAGAACCAAGAATCCTGGTTGTATGAAAGATTCAGAACCGTAAGGTTTGTGAAGCTTTGTATCAGGACATCCCCTGTAAGGCCTTTGTGGCTTAACTCAAGAGCTTGGATTGGTGTGCAGAAGAGATCACCGACGAGGAAGGTACCCCTTGGAGAATTGTTGGGGAAATCAATGGTGAACTTAAAGATGTCATCGAGGTCCATAGGTGATGAACCTCAGTACCTTAGTGATGGGTTTTTCAAGCAGTGCCTTAGTCTCCAATTTTTGAGCTTTTAGTTCCAAGAGTTTAGTCTTTTAATCGAGTGATGTAAATTAGTGTCAATTTCTAACATTGTTTATGAACGATAATTTAACAAACACTAAACCAACAAAATAAAAATTGGCTCCGATCTTCCCTTCCTTCCAAGTTCCACGATTCATCAATTATTTCAAAAAGTTTTTGAAGTAAACACTCACTGGCAAAAAAAAAAAAAAAAACTAATGGGTTAACTCGCCCTTTCCGTCCACTTTACGCTCTTTTATTTCCTTTTTCGTTCGGTCTCCTGCTAAAATTTGGAATCGTTCCTTCTCTAATCGATTTTGCTATCGCCGTTGCTGTTTCCAGCGGCGTCTCTTCCCTTTTCCACTACCACTAAAACAACTCGAATTAAAACCTCAAGTCTCCATCCTTTCTATACTATTTCCTTCTTTTTGATTCGGAGAAATTTCTCTTAGGTTTTTGGAAAGGACTCCATACTTTGTTCTGTTTCTACCACTTATCCTTGCCTTTTGGATAATGTTTACTTTTATTTTTGGTTAAAAGAACTTAATGGGTCTCCATCGTTCTTCCTTTGCATACTGTATACTTTTATCTTTCTACATTTGTTTCCAATTGATATGTTTACTTTTACAAGAGATTTACTTTGAAGGAGGAGGAAGATTGACTTGAATTTAAGTGTAAGTCAATAAAAAAAATAATGGGAGAACTTACTGAAAATAAATTAAAAGTTCAATAATTATATTGTATGTTTCAAAAATTAGATGATCAAAATGTAAGCGTCCTAAAAGTTTGGATACTATTTATATATTTTACCCTTAAAATTAAAGTCCAAATGATTACACATAGTCAAATATGGCAAAAGTTAATTATAAGCTAGTTAAGAAAGGACTTCGAGTTAAAATGATATAATATATTTCTTTACTATTAATAAATTAGAATTATACCAAAAATTAATTAATTATATTTAACCAATAAAATGTTTACATGTTACTCAAATATTTAAAATTGTTTTAAAAATATTTTATATGATTACTTTAACGTAATACTAACGGTATTATCAATTAGGACTAAAGTCCGGCGTTAGAAAAGTACAATAGTCAAATACAACCAGATCAAAGTAGAAGTATTTACAAGGGACTTAAATTACAATTACACCTATTATGAAATTAATATTACATCAATCCACAACACGCAAACATACCTATGACTTTTATGCAACACTCTATCCTTATCTATAATAATAATAATAATAATAATAATAATAATAATAATAATAATAATAATAATAATAATAATAATAATAATAATAAAGAAATGCCCTTATCTATAACTTTAAATTTCAACTTTTTCTTCGGCTGACATTTTATAGAAGTTTAAAAATTTATCAATTTCATAAATATCATTGTTAATAAAATAATAATAATTATTTGAGTAAACTATATATTTTTATCTTATCTATTTTCATATTTCTGTTTTGGTCATTCAATTATTTTTTTTTAAATTATATCTAATGTTACGTTTTATTTCTATTTTAGTACTCTACCATCAAATTTTACCATTGATTTAATGAAAATGATGACGTGTCATGGTGTAATAATAATTTTAGTTCCCAAGCTTACACATTCTATCAATTTGGACATAGTTCAAAATAATTCAATAAATCCTTAATATTTAAGAATTTTATCAATTTGCTTCACATTTTAGTTTGATATAATTTAATAATTTATTATTTTTTGAAAGGAAGAGGGCCTCATAGTTTAATAATTTACTAGAGACCCACATAATTTATTATTAATTTAATAATAATATTTAAATATTGGAGGTTTATCAAATTATTGGAGATTTGTTCTTTCAAAAACATATTGGAGATTTATCAAATTATTTTGAATTATAACAATTTGATAAAATATGTAAATTTTGATACTAAGAATGTTCTTATACCATGTCATGTCACTATTTCCATTAAGTCAATAGTCGAACTTAACAATAAGGTATCAAAATATGAAGAAAACATAATATTCTGTATGATTTTTGAAAAAGAATATTTGAATAACCAAAATAAAAACACAAAAATAAGTAAGATACCAAATAGGTAGTTCACCCCACTTATTATTATGTTTGTCTTAATTATTGAGGAACAAAAATTAGATTTTAACTAAACGCGTTTTCCCTTTAGAAAAAAAAAGGTTGTTATGTGTGGGTGCGGAGAAAATGTAAGTCAACCAACGGATTGGTTCAAGTGGTAAGTAACTTGATATCGTTTAAGGAAAGTTTCAGTTTGAGTCTTTGTGTATGTAGAAAATTCTCATTGGAAGACTCACCCACAAAAATTAGATGTGCGACCCAGATCTGTCCAAATTAATTATGATTATACCTTGAAATTGAAAAAAAAGAAGGTAAGTCAAAATCATTTATTTCATGTTTGTTTTCAATTTCCTCAACTTAGAAGGCTTGATTTGAACATTTATCTTTGAAAGTTGATTTTTTTGTTTTCTTTATTTGACCATGTATTATTCAAAGAAAGCACCCAAATTATTATTAGAAATACTATTTTTGAAAGAAATTATTTAAAACTATTATTTTAATACTCTATATAGATTATTTAAGAAAAATGTTATTTTGCTACGTACTATTGTTCTGATTTGAAACCAAATAACATGCAAATCGTCTTAAATTTCTTAGTTTAATGTTGGGCGAAACCGACACACGTATGCTAATAGTAACTCACTATTAATAGGTGGAATCAGTTGATTCCAAAGTTGGTTAATTTTTTTTAATAGTGTAGATGAGTATAAGATAGTATTTTTTTAAATTTTTTTAATCATTTAATAATATATCAATTAGTAGAAGCAGCTGATCAAACTCATGATTTTTGAGAAATCATGTATTCATGTAATGAAAATTAATATATAATAATTTGATTGATTAATATTATATTTAGTTAAACTAATTAAACATTTTTAATGATAACATTATTCTTTTTAAAAGTTTAAATTAGACTAGTTGTATATGTACCGGATGTTGTAATAAGTTAAGAAATAAATAAATGTTGTAAATAATAATGATACCAATGGAATTATGTTAAATGAATTACTATATTTTATTCGAACTTCAAATAATATAAACAATGAATTAGTTATTTGAATAGTATTAGAGACGTGTTTTCTAACGTTTTCATACTTGGAGACAGCATGGAGTTGATTCAAACGGCCGCAGCCGCCTCTCATCCTCCCTCCCTATATAAACACCGTTGAACCACACGAACAATGCACCAATATCATCTAAAATATCTCAGCATTCATTCAGAAAAATGAAAGCTTTAATGTCTACCCTGGCCATCTTTTCGATCTTCGTTTTGTTATCGATTTCATCGGTGACATCTTCGAATCAAGTCGATTTCGATAATTTTCTTCGATGTCTTCCTACATATTCTCACCGTTCATATCCGATTGCCGATGCCATATTAACTCCAAGCAATTCGTCTTTCCAATCTATTTACCAGTTACGTGCGAATAACCTTCGAATCCTATCGTCAGCAACTTCGAGACCGGTGGCCATTATAACTGCCCTGCATCCATCCCACGCTCAAGCCACCGTTATTTGTGCCAAGCGCCATGGTTTGCAAGTAAGGATCCGAAGTGGCGGTCATGATTATGAGGGACTTTCATACACCTCCAACGTCCCGTTTGTGATTCTGGACATGTTTAACCTTAAGTCCATCGACATCGATATGAAAACCGAGACGGCGTGGGTTCAGGCCGGGGCCACGACCGGTGAACTTTACTATAGGATAGCTGAGAAAAGCAAAGTCCATGGGTTCCCATCAGGTGTTTGCACCACTCTCGGCATTGGTGGACACTTCAGTGGAGGTGGTTATGGATTTCTTATGAGAAAGTACGGGCTCTCCATCGATAACGTGGTCGACGCACAGCTGATCGACGCCAATGGTAGAATCCTTAACAGGAAATCAATGGGAGAAGAAGTGTTTTGGGCAATAAGAGGTGGTGGAACAACCAGCTTTGGGATCATCCTTTCATGGAGAGTCAAGCTGGTTCGTGTCCCACCTAAAGTTACTGTTTTCACCGTGCAAAGGACGTTGAACCAAGGCGCAACCGAGCTAGCTTATCGTTGGCAGCAAGTTGCACCGAAACTGCCTAAAGATCTCTTCGTGAGACTTCAGCCTGAGCCTATTAACAATGGTGGCAGCAACAAGACCATTA